CAGGTTGAGCCAGGTCAAAGCCAGTAGCTGGCAACTCAATCCAGTCTACCACATGGGTGGCAGAGACACAACTATTTAAGCCATCACCTAATAGGTCCTAGAATGTAGATTAGCAGGAAGCTGGAATTGGGAGCAGAGCTGAGACTCAAACCCAGACATGTGATATGGGATGTGGGTGTCCCTAGTAGTGTCTTAACCATTAGGCCAATTGCCTGCACCTACATTTGCAGTTTTTATTCCTAATGTTAAATTTTCTGCTTCCTGTTGCTTTTGTTTGCCTTTTTATAGTTTATGTTTCAACCCTTTTGTCTTTTTCTATTTTCATTTCTGATGTTAAGCCTGTCTTAGCTTTATGAGCCATTTTATTTTTATGTCCTTTTTGTTTCCTTACCCTCTGTCTTTCTTCTTTTTTTTTTTTTTTATCTTTTATTTAATGAATATAAATTTCCGAAGTACGACTCATGGGTTACAATGGCTTTCCCCCCCATACCGTCCCTCCCACCCACAACCCTCCCCTTTCCCACTCCCTCTCCCCTTCCATTCACATCAAGATTCATTTTCGATTATCTTAATATACAGAAGATCAGCTTAGTATACCTTAAGTAAGGATTTCAACAGTTTGTTCCCACACAGAAACATAAAGTGAAAAATAATAGATGACTTTTTTTTTAAATGATGATGAAATCAGATCAGACCTATTGTCATGTTTAATCCCAGTGAGAGTCAAGTTGGGAATTGATAATTTCTTTTTCTTTTTTTTTTTTTTTACAGAAGATCAGTTTAGTGTACATTAAGTAAAGATTTCAATCGTTTGCACCCCCATAGAAACACAAAGTGAAATATACTGTTTGAGTACTCGTTATAGCATTAAGCCTCAGTGTACAGCACATTAAGGACAGAGATCCTACATGAGGAGTAAGTGCACAGTGACTCCTGTTGTTGACTTTACCAATTGACACTCCTGTTTATGGCATCAATAATCTCCCTATGCACCAGTCATGAGTTTCCAAGGCTATGGAAGCCCCTTGAGTTCTCCGACTCTTATCTTGTTTAGACAAGGTCATAGTCAAAGTGGAGGTTCTCTCCTCCCTTCAGAGAAAGGCACCTCCCTCTTTGAAGACCTGTTCTTTCCACTGGGATCTCACTCACAGAGATCTTTTTGCCAGAGTGTCTTGGCCTTCCATGCCTGAAATACTCTCATGGGCTTTTCAGCCAGATCCGAGTGCCTTTAGGGCTGATTCTGAGGCCAGAGTGCTATTTAGGACATCCGCCATTCTATGAGTCTACTGAGTATCTCACTTCCCATGTTGGATCACTCTCCCCTTTATTTATTCTATCGGTTAGTGTTAGCAGACACTAGACTTGTTTATGTGCTCCCTTTGACTCTTAGTCCTTTCATTATGATCAATTGTGAACTGAAATTGATCACTTGGAATAGTGAGATGGCATTGGCACATGCCACCTTGATGGGATTGAATTGGAATCCCCTGGTATGTTTCCAACTCTACCAATTGGGGCAAGTCAGCCCGAGCATGCCCCAAATTATACATCTCTTCCCTCTCTTATTCCCACTTTTATGTTTAACAGGGATCACATTTCAGTTAATTTTCAACACTTAAGAATAACTGTGTGATAATTACAGAATTAAACCAGTCATATTAAGTAGAACAGACAAAAAAAAAAAATACTATGAGGGAAAATGTATTAAGTTGTCCATTAGCAGTCAGGGCTATGCTGATCAAGTCACCATTTCTCATAATGTCTGAGAAGTGTATTGTGCATTACAAAGAGCTCTCAGTTGCCCTCTGGATCATTTACTCTTTGTAAAGTTATTGGCACAGTGATGAGGTTCATTTTAAGCATTGTTAGATATCACCATAATCAATACTGGGAGGTTATTTGACTTATCCATGTTTATACAATGATGAAACCATAAAGTCTTGATCCAATTCTGTTGAATTAGAAAAATACATAGAGGGCTGGTAGAGACAGAATGCTAAAATTCATTGTAACTGAGATTTTCAGCTGTTCCAAAAACTTCTTTATTGAATATTTGAAGTTAGTCCAGAAATCCTTCTTGTAAAGCCCAAAAAGTTCACCAAGGCATTCAACAAGATGAAATCAAAGAATTCGCTTGATCTGTATGGACCCATTACTGCCATTTCTTGGAAGCAATACTTGTACTTTAGAGGCAAACTGGCTTGAGATTGAAACTTGGTTCTGCCCTTTGTAGCAAGACAGGGACACACCATGCTAGAAATGAATATTTAATGGGAGACTCTGGGCCAGAAGAACAGAGGAAGTATTCAGTTCAGGCTTGATCTTTAATCTGGGAGCAAGGTGATAGGATGAGACTGAATCCATTATGTATGCTTTGATTGAGTAGGGGTGGGACTATAGGACTGGGACTCAGAGTGACATAGTAACCAGTGAGTGCATGCTGGTGGAGATGGGAGAGAGGGACCACAGACACCTGGAAGAATGGGACCCTCTTGTTTCATATTAGTGCCTGCAGCTAGACACAGTCTGGGCAGACAAAAGGCAAGTTGGGAAGGACTTTGATGAGTGGCCATATACTATCAGTATTCAACCAATATTTGCACTTACTGGCACAGCCGTGCCATGTCCATGCATGGACATATTCACCCAATTCCCCAAAGTCCCTCACTCGCTTCTACCTCTCATTCCCACTAAACACTGAGGCCCTGGAGCCATCGCAGGTTCATGTCTTTGTCCTCTGGTCTTACATAATACCTGGCAGATTCCTTCAACTGCCCAATAGCTTTGTCACCTTGACTACAAAACTTCAGCTGTAACCCATTTTGCTTTTCTGAAAGACAAGAATGTCCTTACAACTACAGAGGGGTTGTGAGATGAATGAGATAAAACACGAGAAGGGCTTCACTGAGCAGCCCGTGAACATGGCTGGCTGTGAACATGAGCGTCTTCCTCTGGCTCCTCAGTGTGCTCTTGGCCTGTGTTGCTACCAGCAAGAATCCACGTCTGTTTGTACACAGAGCTCATTCATCCCCTGGAGACTCGCTGGGTGGCTGTGTGCCTGGAACCAGAAAACAAAGTACCTTTCATATCATCACTTTCTTTCTGCCTCACAGAACCCTTCAAGGGAGAAATAATTTTCTCCCTTTTATAGTCAGGGGGCTGAGTCTCAAAATGTGAAGCAACATTCTAAAAGCCCACACCTAGTGAACTACTGAGCCAGAATTTCATATAACTCAGAGATAGAATGCTTTTCTCCATACCTGACCCTGCCCTGTAGTGCACTTTATATTCACTAGCACATGTTGAGGAATGGGACGTTGTCTTCTACCATCTTCTACTCAAACAGAAATTACGGTTTACGAAGAAGCCCGCACTTTCTATACCAGACTGATATGAATCATGTCTCAGCTCCTAGGTAGGTCACACATGCTGTACTCTCTGCCTTTACTAGACTAAAGGCTACTTAAAGATAAAGACCTTGTTTATTTTATGACAGTTACATCTTCGTGCCTTGTTCTAGGAACACATGGTGGATGTACACTCTATTCATATTGATTGAATGTAGGAATGAAATGTTTTATAATGGAACTTCCAATCTTAAAGTGAATTGAATCTGAGTTTAGCTGAGAGGAGGAGAAAAGGAGATAGTGAAATGGACACTATGAGAAACAGTGACTTGATTAGCTCTTGTCCTGACTGTTGATGTACAATGTAATACTTTATCCATTTTAGTATTTTCTCTTTGTTTTGTTCTAGTACTATTGGTTGAACTCTGTGATTAACACACATTCTTAGGTGTTTAAATTTTAACTAAAAAGTAATCCCTGTTAAATATAAGAGTGGGAATAAGAGAGGGAGGAGATGTACAATTTGGGACATGCTCAGTCGGACTTGCCCCAAATGGTGGAGTTAGAATCATGCCAAGGGATCCCAATACAATCCCATCAAGGTGGCATGTACCAATGCCATCTCACTAGTCCAAGTGATCAATTTCAGTTCACAATTGATCACACTGATAGGTCTAAGAGTCAAAGGGATCACACAAACAAGACTAGTGTCTGCTAATACTAGCTGATAGAATCAAAAAGGGAGAGAACGATCCATCATGGGAAGCGGATACACAGCAGACTCATAGAATGGCAGATGTCCTAAATAGCACTCTGGCCTCAGAATCAGCCTTTAAGGCATTCGGATATGGCTGAAGAGCCCATGAGAGTATTTAAGGCATGGAAAGCCAAGATACCCTGGAAAAAAAAAAAAAAAAAGAAGAAGACCTAAATGAAAGATCTCTGCGAGTGAGATCCCAGTGGAAAGAACAGGGCCATCAAAGAAGGAGGTACCTTTCTCTGAAGGGAGGAGAGAACTTCCACTTTGACTATGACCCTGTCAGGATAAGATTGACGTCGGCGAACTCAAAAGGCTTCCATAGCCTTGGCAACTCATGGACTAGAGCCTAGGGAGATTACTGACGCCATAAACAAGAGTGTCAAATTGTTAAGTCAACAACAGGAGTCACTGTGTACTTACTTCTCATGTGGGATCTGTCCTTAGTGTGTTGTCCAATATGAAATAATGCTGTAACTAGTACTGAAACAGTCTTTTACACTTTGTGTTTCTGTGTGGGTGCAAACTGATGAAATCTTTTCTTAATATATACTAAATCGATCTTCTGTATATAAAGATAATTGAATCTTGATGTGAATGGAATGGGAGAGGGAGCGGGAGATGGGAAGGATGTGAGTGGGAGGGAAATTATGGGGGGGGAGCCATTGTAATCCATTAACTGTACTTTGGAAATTTATATTTACTAAATAAAAAATAAATTTAATAAAAAAGAAAAAAAGAAAGAAATGGAGATAGAATCCTTCCCCTCAGACTCAGCCAGGTGCACACACAGATACAGACTCCCCTTGTTAAGAGCCCTTCAGCCACTCACACCCCATCTCTTCCTGGATACAGACATGTGCACATTTAACTGTGACTGTGTAACTATTTTTCAGTTTGTGAAGAAATATGGGAACCTCTTTTGCCTGGATTTGGCTGGCAAGTCTATTGTCATTGTAACTGGATTGCCCTTAATCAAAGAAGTCCTTGTCCACATGGACCAAAACTTCATTAACCGCCCTGTGCCCCCTATCCGGGAACGTTCCTTCAAGAAAAATGGTAAGATTTTGACCAATGTAACGTGGGTGTTTGATATTCTTATGGTCTGTTAAAAAGGCCTCTGTGACTATAATGTTCTACACTTGATTTTAGCCAAAAGGCCGAGAAGCGATCTGTGACTATAATGTTCTGATACTGCCAGAAATCAGCCTTCTTAGCAAATTTCTGCTGTGAAAAGAAGTTGGATGCCCACATTTCCTGACTGAAAGCAGCTCAGAAGAGGATTTGGCAGGGTCAACCATCAGAGAAGATGGGAGGAGCCATATGTTTTGCACAAACTCTCTCAGGATGCTTTGATGATGACGTCATCATATAACTTAGTTGCAACAGAGGAGCAGGCAATGCCTTTCTCTTTCTTGTTTTCTCATTCCAAACCTCTTCCCTTAGACAATGGATGTGGATCTGCTTCCTCCTGCTTTGCCTCCTCCTGGTTCTGGTTCCTTATTCACTACCATTATGGCCGTGCCACAAAGGGTCAAGCCTTCCTGTCGATATTAGAACAGATTGGCTTGAATACTTAAAATTAGCATTAAATAAAGACTTAATAATCAAAGTGAAAATCTCAAATCTATTATTCTATCAAAGAAGCATGTTTAGATGCTTACCACTTCTTCTCTGAAATAGTTCATCAATTAATACTACATCCATTCACAGTGAAGCACAGTGCCAGGCATGAGTGATGTAGCAGTGAGTAGGGAGGCAGGTGCTGCGGCATGATGGATTATGCCACAATTTGGGATGCCCACATTCCATTTTACAGTCAGTTAGAGTCCCAGATACTTTGCTGCCTGCTAATGCATCTGGGAAAGCAGCAGGTAAAGGATCAAGTACTCAGGTCTCTGCCACCCATGTGGAAACTCAGATGAAGTTCCTGGCTTCTGGCTTTGGACCGGCCCATCTTCAGCTGTTACAGGAAGCTGAGGGGTAGACCAGCAGATAGAAGATCTCTCTCTGATCTCTTTTGCCCTCTTCCAAACCAATAAAGATTAATTAATTGTAAAAATATAGAGAGAGGGGCTGGTACTGTGGCATAGTGGGTAGAGCTGCCACCAGCAGTGCCATCATCCCATATGGGTGCCAGTTTGAGTACCAGCTGCCCCACTTCTGATCCAGCTCTCTGCTATGGCCTGGGAAAGCAGTAGAAGATGTCCCAAGTCCTTGGGCCCCTGCACCCATGTGGGAGACCCGGAAGAAGCTCCTGGCTCCTGGCTTTGGCTTGGCACAGCTTCGTCCATTACGGCCAATTGGGGAGTGAACCAGCAGATGGAAGACCTCTCTTTCTCTCTGCCTCTCTGTCTCTCTGTGTGTAACTCTGACTTTCAAGTAAATAAATAAATCTTTAAAAAAAAAATGTGTGGTGAAAGGATGATATTTTCCTTCTATATTTAAAACCATTCAGAACCTCCATTGTCATTAGATTAAAAACCAACATCCTTAACAAGGATTTACATGAACAACTCCTGATCAAGCTTTATTTCCATTTCATTATCTTCTTTTAACTCCTGTACTTACCACATTGGAAACTTTTTAGTTCCTCAAATTCATTGTCCTTCTTATTTTTCACATCTGATTCCCCCTGTCTGACTATTTCTTCACTTTATTCCATGAATGGACACTCACTCACATTAGCTTTTATTTAATCCCAGGACTACATTGGTGAGGTGTTGTGTGGAAAACGTAATGAATTAGCCATTGAGTTAGAAATACCAGTACAGGCCGGCGCCGCGGCTCACTAGGCTAATCCTCCACCTTGCGGTGCCGGCACACCGGGTTCTAGTCCCAGTCGGGGCGCCGGATTCTGTCCCGGTTGCCCCTCTTCCAGGCCAGCCCTCTGCTGTGGCCAGGGAGTGCAGTGGAGGATGGCCCAGGTGCTTGGGCCCTGAACCCCATGGGAGACCAGGATAACTCCCTGGCTCCTGCCATCGGATCAGCGCGGTGCGCCCGCCGCAGCGCGCCCGCCGCGGCGGCCATTGGAGGGTGAACCAACGGCAAAGGAAGACCTTTCTCTCTGTCTCTCTCTCTCACTGTCCACTCTGCCTGTCAAAAAATAAAAAATAAAAAAATAAAAATAAAAAAAAGAAATGCCAGTACAAGGCTCAGCATTGTGACAAAGTGGGTAAAACTACCATGTTCAGCACTGGCATCTCATTGGATGCCTGTTCAAGACCTAGCTGGCCACTTCCAGTCCAGCTCCCTGCTGATGGCCTGGGAAAGCAGTCGAAGATGGTGTAAGTCCTTGGGCTACTGCACATATGTGGGAGGCTGGGAGGAAATTCCTGGCTCCTGGACTCAGTCTGGCCCAGCTCTGCTGTTAGTCATTTGAGGAGTGAACAAGCGAATGGAAGCTATCTCTCTCTCAGTCTCTCTCTCTCTCTCTCTCTCTTGCTTTCTCCTCATCTCCCTCTTGTGGTTTTGCCTTTCAAATGAATGAAATGGATCTTAAAAAAATTAGAAAAGAAATACCTATACATCAGCAAAGTCAAGCAGTTGGTATATGTATATATTTGTCTGAAGTTTGGGGACAGAAATGGGTGGTGATGACTCCTTTTTTTTTTTGTTTGTTTGCTGTTTTTTTTTGTTTTGTTTTGTTTTGTTTTGTTTTTTTTGACAGAGCTAGACAGTGAGAGAGAGAGAGACAGAGAGAAAGGTCTTCCTTCCATTGGGTCACTCCCCAAATGGCCGCTACGGCCCACACTGCGCTGATCAGAAGCCAGGAGCCAGGTGCTTCCTCCTGGTCTCCCATGGGGTGCAGGGCCCAAGCACTTGGGCCATCCTCCACTGCCTTCCTGGGCCACAGCAGAGAGCTGGACTGGAAGAGGAGCAACCAGGACTAGAACCCAGAGCCCACATGGGATGCCGGCGCCACAGGCAGAGGATTAATTAACCAAGTGAGCCCTGGCGCCGGCCCCAGTGATGACTATTGATAGATGCTATTTCAAATTTTCAGCTGAGATGAGATTTTCCAGAAATGTAGTGTGGGGTGAGAAGAGAAGAGACTTTATACCTAATCTTGAAGAATTCTACCTTTTCAAGATGTTATAGTAGAGATGAACCAGAAAAAGCTATAGAAAGTTGCTGGCAGAGAATTAGGAAGGAAATCTGTAGAGTATGATGTCTCAAGAACTGCTGGAAGGGGTATTTCAAGAAAGAAGTGATTTGTGCTTCTGAAAGGCCAAATAAGATGAGGTGGAAGCAGAGCCATGGCTTTGATGACGAAGAATCCATTTCATTGGGATTGTGGACACCAAAACCATGTATTGAAAGAACTCAGGTGTTCCGAGTTATTCATATAGTCTGGATAAGAATTCTTCGTTAGTTAAGTAACTTGCAAATAATTTATCTCATTCTTTTAGATTGGCTGTGCAGAAGGTTCTAAGTTAGATATTATTATATTTGCCTGGTTTTGCTTTATTTGCCTGTACTTTTGGGTTCTTATTTTAGAAGTTATCACTGGCACCAATGTCTTGAAATGTTTCCTTTACATTTTGTTTTAGCAATTTCGTGGTTTCTGGTCTTTCGCTGAGGTCTTTTATCCATCTTGAGTTGATTTTTATATAGGGTGAGAGGTAAGAAACAGACAAATGACCTGAATAGACAGTTCTCAAAAGAAGAAACACGAATTGCCAACAAATATATGAAAAAATGCTCAACATCACTCCACATCAGGGAAATTAAAATCAAAACCATAATGAGATACCCAGCTTACCCTTTTTAGATTGACTATTATAAAAAAGAGAGTAACAAATTTTGGTAAGGATGTGGAGAAAGTGGAACTCTTAAACACTGTTGGTGGGAATGTATACTAATTAAATCACTGTGGAAAATAGTATGGAGATTTGTTTAAAAATTAAAAATAGACTTGCAATATGTTCCAGCAGTCCCACTACTGGATATATACCAAAAGACATAAACACATTGTATCAAAGAGGTACCTGTTCCACCATGTTTACAGAAGCACTATTCACAATAGCCAAAATATGGAATCAACCAAAATATTCATGAAGATTAATGAATGGGTAAAGAAAATATGGTATATAAACACAATGGAATGCCATTCATCTATAAAAAAGAATGAGATCATGTCATTTGCAGAAAAATGGACAAAACTGGAGGATATCATGTTGAGTTAAATAATCCAGGCCCTGAAAGACAAACACTGAATGTTCTCCCTTACATGTAGGAGCTAATATTTAAAAAACCAAAATCTCAATCTAAACACAGAATGTTGATTACTAGAGGCTGGGAAGGGTGGGAGAGATAAAAAGAATTTGGATTTAAAAATTAGGGAAATCTGGTGTGGCTCATTAATTGTGACAAAGATCCTAATGAGACATTAGTAGGAGAAATGGAGTGCGAGGTATATGGAAACTGTATACCTCATACTTTTTGTTTGGTAAATTTAAACTATTCTGTAATAATGTGTTAAAAGGCAAGAGCTGAGGAGTGCTATGGAAGTGAAGAAATGGAAAGGCATGTGGCATTGCTTGTGATATGAAACAAATGGTGGCCTGCTGAGCACCCCAAGTCTTTTTTTCTCCCCTTTGCCTATGCTGTTCTTTCTGATAGAGCATTCTCTTCTTACTCCCTTGAGTCACTCCTTTACCTTTCAAGGAATAGCGGTGTTACTACCTCTCCTGTAAACCATTTCTTTGACTTCTTAAGACTATGGACTTTGTCTCCTCCATGATGCACTCCTGATATTTAGTATAATAAAAATATGTAACTATACTTTTGTAACTCATAATTCAACCATCCACTTTGGAATCAGCCACACTTGAATTAGAACACCTGGTTAGTTGTTTATTAACTGTGTGACCTAGGAAAGTTTACTTTATCCTTTATCATGTTCCTCAGTTTCTGCATCAGTACAATGGGGAGGATAATTGTACCTATCTGATACAGTTTCCATGAGTACTAAATTACATAGTGCATAAAAAGTACTAAAGTACCTGACATTGCACACAATCAGATAATGTTAGCTATAGTGCTCATTACTTTGAGATTATTTCTCTGAGTAGTTTTCAAGTGCCTTAATGTCCCTCCTTTCGTCAGTCAGATAAACATCCCTATATTATTTGTCAGATATTTACTTTATAAAATCAGAATACCATAATATTGGCTTCTTGTTCCCAGGATTGATCATGTCCAGTGGCCAGCTATGGAAGGAGCAGAGAAGATTTGCCCTGATGACACTAAGGAACTTTGGTTTAGGAAAGAAGAGCTTAGAGGAACGCATTCAGGAGGAAGCCCGACACCTCACTGAGGCAATGGAAAAGGAAGGCGGTGAGCATTGCCTGGGACAGATGCAGACATTGTAACCTGTGCATTCACTGAACAGACACTTATGAAGTATCTAAATATGATCCTATGCCCAGCACTGTGCCAGGCACCAAAGATAGAGCCCTTCCCTCAAGTTCTAGAATTAAGCACACAGAGATGATTGTTAAACCCATTACTGAATGTAAACATTGGTCTTCAGTTTGATGTTCTAGGTACTGACTGAGTACTTACTGTGTGTGGCACATGTGTAGCGTGCTGTGACCTGAGTCTTATAGTTCTGTGTCAAGTATGTCTTATGGCATACAAAGAAGACTCCCAGTAGAAAACAGAAATGAGCTAATCTGAAGGATACGTCTCTTCCTTCCTCCACCTCCAGGACAGCCTTTTGATGCTCATTTCAAGATCAACAATGCAGTTTCCAACATCATTTGCTCTATCACCTTTGGGGAGCGCTTTGAGTACCACGATGGTCAGTTTCAGGAGCTGTTGAAGTTATTCGATGAAGTCATGTATTTGGAAGCTTCGATGCTGTGCCAGGTAAGGAGGTTACCTTTCCATACTCTGGTTAAGAATATTGAGGCTAATGTCAGACACAGATGGGTTCTTCCTTTTTGTTTTTTGATGCTAAAATGCAGACTTTAAAACAAAAGATTTATTTATATATTTGAAAGGCAAAGTAACCAAAAGAGGGAAAAGCAGAAAGAGAGAGAGGGAGAGGGAGAGCGAGAGGGAGAGAGAGAGAGAGATCTTCCATCTGCTGGTTCACTCCCCAAATGGCTTAAATGATCAGGTCTGGGCCAGGCCAAAGCCTGAAACCAGGAACTCCATCCTGGTCTCTCACATGGGTGACAGGGGCCCAAGTTACTGCCTTTCCAGGCACATTAGCAGGAAGCTGGATCAGAAATACAGTAGCCGATACTTGAACCAGCCCTCTGATATAGAATGCTGGCATTGCAGGCAGCAGCTTAACACATTGTACTTCAATACTGGTTCTTGAAGTACAAAGTTTTAAAATTAGTTTTTGGGACAGGGTTTTGGCTTGGTGGTACTTGCATCCAATATCAAAGTTTCTGAGTTTAAGTTCCAGCTCTCCTTCCAATTCTGTAGGTGAATGCTTAATGACTTCCCATTAAAACTTGCAAAAATTGCCTGCCCATGTTTGATGAGACAAATGAGCAGGAGCATTGTCATGTGGAGAAGGACTCTCTGGGGAAACCCTCCTGGGCATTTCTCTGCTAATGCTTTAGGTAACCTTCTCTAGATGTTATCATTCTTTAATGATCCAGAAAGTCAACAGACAGGATGCTTGGGGCATGACCTTTGCTCTTGACCTGTTGACTTTTGCTTTGACTGAACCACTTCCACCTCTTCATAGCCATTGCTTTGATTGTGCTTTCTCTTCAGGATCATACTGGTAAAGTTTGTTTTCATCTCTGTTACAGTTCTTCAGGATCTTGATCCTACTTCTTAAAAGTTTCCATCTGCTCTTTCCTGCAGATAATCTGGGAGCAATAGTGTGAACATTCATTGAGGAGAAAGTTTGGTCAAGTTTATTTTTCAGTCAAAGCTATGAAAGCAGAACCAGTTGAGATGTCTTGTGGTATTTGCTGTGGTTTCTGCTCTTAATCATTGGTCCTCATCTGTTATGGCCTGAACAAACTTGATTTTTCTAGTCAAATAGACATGGATAGTCTACCAGTACAGACTTCATCTTCAACATTGGCTTATCCTTATTTAAAATGAGTTACCTAATTATAAACTGATGATTTCTTTGGAGCATTGTCCCCCTAAACTTCACAAAGCACCAATGATTTTGCCATTCCACCACCCAAGTATGACTACCAACTAGATTTTTGTTCTTGCTCTAATTTTAGCAGGATCAATGTTGTTCTGAAAGGGGATATGTTCAAACTAATTTCTTATTCTTAGCGCCTCAAGCAAGATCCTGTTATAACTACGTAGTATGAATTTATTATGTTGCCACAAAAATATTTTGACCTCTGTGCAGTTTTTTCATGACATACATTCTCCATGAGTGTTTTGAAAACCCGCAATATTTTGAATGGAAGGCTGATGTGCTTTGCTAGAGAGATGAGGAGCTGAATGAGGAGAAAAGAGGAGTCATGGATGGTTCCAAGGTTTGAGCGTAAGCAAATAAAATATATACACAGAGAAGATTGCATCTATGGTATTAAAAAGTACGAAAGTGGCACTATGTTGTCTCCATGGTTGGTTTGTTTTTCTCAATCAGCTCTACAATATCTTTCCATGGATTATGAAATTCCTTCCTGGAGCTCACCAAACTCTCTTCAGCAACTGGAAAAAACTGGAATTATTTGTCTCTCGTATGCTTGAAAACCACAAGAAAGATTGGAATCCTGCTGAAACAAGAGACTTTATTGATGCTTACCTCAAGGAAATGTCAAAGGTAATGCCTTGGTCAATTTTTTCATTGCTTTAACTAAAATCCCTGAGAGGAGCAACTTCAGAGAGAATAAGGTATATTGTGGCTTAGTTTGCAGGTATGCAGTCTGAGATTTGGATGCCCCATTAGTTTGGACTCTAATGGTGGAATACATGTGGAAGGAGAACTACATGATGACCCAAAGAGCATAGAGAGAAATCAGACCAAATTCAGATTAAATAAGCAGCCCTCTCTCTAGGGGCTGGCACTGTGGCATAGTAAGCTAAGCCCACAAATGTGGTGCTGGCCTCCTATATAGGCACCAATTCATGTCCTGGATGCTCCACTTCTGGCCCAGCTCTCTGCTTATGACCTGGGAAAACAGTGGAAGTTGGCCCAAGTGTTTGGGTCCCTGAACCCGCGTAGGGGACCCGGAAGAAGCTCCTGGCTTCAGGCTTCAGATTGGCCCAGCTCTGGCCATTGCAGCCATTTGGGGACTGAACCAATGGATGAAAAACCTTTCTCTCTGTCTCTCCCTCTCTCTTTTTGTAACTCTACCACTCAAATAAATAAATCTTTTAAAAAAATTAACCAACCTTCTCAAGAAAAGCACCTTCCAAGCACAGGCCCCTAGTAGACTTAAAGACCTCCACTGGACCCTCCTCCTAGACATCACAATTAGATCAGGCCTCCACTCTTCATCCACTAACCATTAACATAAGGCTTTGGGGTGTAAATTGCTGCATGAATTTAGGGAAACAAATCCTGTTCAAACCATAATAGGTAAGGAAATGCCTTGCATTTCCCGCATTTTGTTTCTAAAATGCAAATAAAAATTTTATTTTCCAGTTGCTGCTGTATTAAGTTACTGCAATTTGGTTTAAAATAGCACAAATTGATTTTCTTACACTTCTAAAGATCAGAAGTCCAAAATTAGTTTGGGCAAAAAGCAAGGTATATATAGGCTGGGGCTGCTTCTTTCAGAGGCTCTGGAGAATGGCCATTGCCAGGGCTTCTCCAGCTTCTAGAGGCTGTCTATATGCCATGGCTTATGACCGCTTCTTCCATTCCTGCAGCCAGCGGGGCAGCATCTTCTCTCCCCTCTGATCTCTGCCTGCATCCTTACAACTTTCTCTCTGAATTTGACCCCTTTAGTCCCCTGTTAGAAAACTCTTAGGATTTCTTGGGCCCACTGGGCTAATGTAGAACAATCTCTATCTCTGACTCCTTAATTACATTCCCTTTTGCCATGTCAGGCCACATAAATGGATTCCGGGATCAGGACATGGACGTCTTTATGAGTCATTATTCAGCCTATTAGGGGGAGTAAAATGAGGGGAGGCAGAAAGTGTAAGATAGTGTTAACTCAAGATCAATGAGACAATTAGGAATAAAGAAAGTGGGTTAATGGTGTTTGGTGTGAAACCCTGAGAATTGAAGCCCAGATACCACCTTTTCATCTCCTACTCCCTTCCTTCCACTTACCTCTAAAGAAACTGCACACAAAACGAAAAATAGCAATTGAATCTTGAAGCTCTGTTTTATTATTAGTTGGGCCTCTGCCCAGTTACCTGCCACTAGTCTTGGCTTCCTTTGCAGAACACAAGTAAAGCTAAGTCAGACACAGAGTTTCACCTTAAGTCTTGAACAAAACTTTGGCTTTTCCCTTGCCCCAATGTTTTCTACTTTTGAACAATAGTGTGAAGCAGGAAAAAAACCAAAATTGATGTATGAGCTACAACACGGTGAACTCTCTGCATAGCAAACATCACTGAACCAGTGTCATCACCTTTGACACATCAGATTGCTGGTTCCTCCCCCTGGACCAGGCAGACTAGTGGATTTCCTTCATCTCTTTTCACCTTACTGCCATAACGTCATAGACACACTGCTCTTTCCTCACAGGAGAGTTTACTTGTCATGTGATACATAGGAGTGGGATCATTAACATTAAGAGCACAGTTGACAAACAGAAGCATCCAGAGGATGATGGAGATAAAATGAGAGTGTCATAGTGAATTGTTGATGCAATCATAGAGGCTTAAACTAGAAAAGATTGATGAGGAGATGTGAGAATTTTATGTAAGAGGACTTCTGTTTGTGCTTTCTGCCGTCTGTACAAATCCTTGTGGAGCATGTGCTGTATGCTTTTTGTATCTCACATGATTTGCAACATCAGCAGAGGGGTGCATACTATAACTTCTCTATTTTATACAGAAACAGGACTGAAGCACAGAGATTAAGTAACTTGCCTAAGTCATCCAGCTAGTAAGTGGTGTGGTGATATTAGAAGCCATGTCTGTCTTATTTGCATCCCAGTGTCTCCACTATGCTAAGAGCTTCTCCCAGATTACAGGCATAAGGAAATAGTGGCCTTGATTTTCATCCCACGAAGTGCTGGCAGATCTTTGTTAGCTTTGATAGCAAAACAGCACTGACAACATTGCAGTAAAAAGCCTCTGCCTCCTGAACAGACCAAAGGGAAGTCCTTTGTCCAGGGACCCTTTCCTTACAGGTACTCCCCACGTGCCAGAATGAAGACTTTGTGTGTTGCAGTGATGAGAAATGCTCTTACTAAGCCAATAACCACTGTCCTTTCTAGTACCCGGGCAGTGCTACTTCAAGTTTCAATGAAGAAAACCTCATCTGCAGCACCTTGGACCTCTTCCTTGCTGGCACAGAGACAACTTCCACGACACTGCGCTGGGGTCTGCTTTTCATGGCCCTCTATCCAGAAATCCAAGGTGAGCCTGTCAGGGGGAGTGGTTGGACAGGACAGCAGCATGCCTTCTGCCCAAACGTGGGACAGGAGGTGGTGTGGTAGACTGGAAGGAGAGGTAGGGCAGCCATGAGGTGATGTGAACTGGGGGGCAGGGCCAGTCTGCTGTGTGATGAGTCCAGGGAGTACAGACATGACAGAGAGGCCCTGTCCTCAATAAGCTCAGAGTTTGGGAGGAAAACAGTGAAGTCAGTTGACGCTGTGATTAGTTCCAAGAGTTAGTTTGTCATATAAAAATCTAGTCATGCCTTTCCTCTCTGTTAAGTAATCCTTCCTGGATAATGCCCAGACTCCTCCTCCTATGTGCTCCTTTCTGCCTGTCTGGCCTCCAAACCACCCACCCTCCTTGGTGGTTTCAGCAAATTACACATCTTGTTCTTTGCACAGTCCTTGTTTACGCTACACTGTCATGACCTCTGCTCTTCCCACTACCAAGAATGTACTTCCCCGATTTCTCTGCATGAGAAATTCCTCACTCTTCCTGAAGAATCTGCTCAAGCACTACCTCCCTGAGATGTTGCTGCACCCCTCTAGCTAGGAAACTATTAGATTTCCTTCCTCCAAAGAAGGCCTCATGCACATCCCTTACTGTGTCTGTGTCTGTTGCGCATTACAGATGCTCCTCAACTTCCAACGGAAGTTGCGTCCTGATAACCCATTGTAAGTTGGAAATACGTAAGCTGTAAACGCATGTAACCTATTAAACTTCACTTAGTGAGTATGCTGCAGAGCATGAGTGGATTCCCCACATGATAGTGGGGCTGGCTAGAGGCTGTGCTTGCTGCTTCCCACTGCCGTCTCACAGGGGGGCATTGTGGCAGCCTAGGAGAAGAGCAAAATTTAGAGTGTGGTTTCTGGTTAAACCATCGTAACTCAGGGACTTATGAATGTACAGAGCTTTCCCACTGTAGTCTAGACCAGGATGGTGACTGTACTTGTCAATTTTCTTTCTCCAGTTTCTGGAAACATTTGAGCTTGTGGGAGATGGAAAGTGTTGTAATATGGTTTTTCAAATTGTGGGTAACAGTTTATTAATGAGGCATAAAATCAAATTAATGGAACAAGACCAACTTTATTTTATCAAGATAAAAAGATCAGAATGCAGTTTATGTGTAGGGATAAGTTTGTACATGAACATTTATTTCTTGTATATGTGGGGCAAAAATGTACGCTTTCCGTGTATGTGTATTTATATGTGTCCTGGGTCATGATGCAAAATGCATTTCTAACTGGATTACTTTATGTAAAAAGTTCAAAAGCTGCTAAGATAGAGTATGGATTTGGCTTCTGGAATGTTGGCTCCAAAATAACAATGGACTAAAACGACAGAGGTTTACACCCATGTTTATAGCAGCTTTAATCACAGTAGCCCAGAGATAGAAGCAGCACAAGAATCCCTCAACAGTGAGTTGATACATAAAATGCAAATTATTATTCAGCCTTAATAACAAAGGAAATTCTGATACAGGCTGCAGAATAGATAAACCTTGAAGGCATTATGATAAACACTGTATGAATCTACTAAATGACTTATCTAAAGTAGTCTAATTCATAGAAACAGAAGGAAGAACAATGACTAAGAACAGAGGAAGAACAGAGGCTAAGGTTGGGGAGAAATGGAGCGTTGCTTAAGAGATATAGAGTTTCAGTTTTGCAGGATGAAAACTTCAGGAGATTGCTTGCATAACAATATGAATATGCTTAATATTACTGAAAATGGCTAATATGGTACATTTTCATTAATATGTACAATACTCCAGTTAATTTTTTTCAATTTTATTTAAGGTATACAAATGTCATGTGTTTCATGTGTACAGATTTAGGAACAGAGTGATAGTGCACACTGTACCCTCTTCCCTCCCATGTTCCCACCCTTCTTCCTCCTCCCCCTCCTGTTCCCACTCTTAATTTTTGCAAAGTTCTATTTTCAGTTTACTCTATACCTACACTAAGTAAACAGTTCAACAAGTAGTGTGAAGAAAAATAATGTGTTCATTCACAGTAGAGACAAGGTCTGTAGCAATCATCAAATCTCAAATTGTCAATTTCACTCCAATACATTATATTTTAATTACTTTATTAGTTACAGATTTCAGAGAAAAGATATAGTATCTGTTTTTTGGGACTGGCTTATGTCACTAAATATAATGGTTTCCAGTTGCATCCATTTTGTTGTAAAAGATAGGATTTCATTTTTTTTATTGTAAGGTAGTATTCCATAGTGTACATATGCCATAATTTTTTTATCCAGTTTTATCAGTTGATGGAAATCTGTGTTGATTCCATATCTTAGCTATTGTGTATTAAGCTACAATGAGCATGAGAATACATATAACTCTTCCATATGCTGATTTCATTTTGTTTGAGTAAATTCCCAGGAGTGGGATTGCTGGGTCATATGGTATATCTATTTTCAGATTTCTAGGGTATCTACATACTGTCTTCCACAATGGCTGTAACCAGTATATATTCCCACCAACGGTAGATTAAGGTATATTTATCCTCATATCTTTGCAAGCATTTATTGTTTGTTAATTTCTGTATGAGGGCTATTCTAACTGCGGTGAGGTGAAACCTTACTGTGGTTTTGATCTGCATTTCTGTGATGGCTAGTGATCCTGAGCATTTTGCCAAGAGTTATAGGCCATTTGAAATTCCTCTTGAAAAATGCCTGTTCAAGTCCTTTGCCTATTTTTTAACTGTGTTGTTTTGTTGCTCAATTTCTTGAGTTCTTTATAGATTCTGGGTATTAACCCTTTATCAGTTTGCAAACATTTTCTCCCATTCTATCAATTGCCTCTTAATTTGCTGAGTGTTTCTTTTGCAATGCAGAAACTTTTCAGCTTGTTATAATTCCATTTGTCAATTTTGCCTTTGGTTGCCTGTGCTTCTGGGGTCTTTTCAGAGAAGTCTTTGCCTATGCCAATGTCTTGCAGAGTTTCCCCAATGTTTTCTAGTAATTTGTTGTTATCAGGTCATAAATTTAGGTCTTTAATCCATTTTGACTGAATTTTGTGTAAAGTGTAAGGTAGGCATCTTATTTCATATTTCTGCATGTGCAGAACCAGTTTTCATAGCACCATTTGTTGGAAGAGACTGTCCTTGTTGCGGGGACTGATTTTAGCTCCTTTGTCAATGATAAGTTGGTTGTAGATACGTAGATTGATTTCTGGAGTTTCTATTCTGTTCCATTGGTCTATATGTCTATATTTTTGCCAGGACTAGGCTGTTTTGATTATAACTGCCCTGTAGTATATCTTGAAATCTGGTATTGTGATGCCTCTGGCTTTGTTTTTGTTTTATAAGGTTGCTTTAGCTATTCAGGGTCTCTTGTGTTTCTGTATGAATTTTAGCATTGCTTTTTCTAGATTTGAGAAGAATGTCTTTGGTATTTTGATTGGTATCGCATTGAATCTGTAAATCACATTCAGTAGTATGTGCATTTGATGATATTAATTCTTCCAATCCATGAATATGGAAGGGTTTTAGATTTTTTTGTGTATTTTTCTGTTTCTTTCTTTAATGGTTTGTAATTTTCATTGTAGGGATTTTTTTACTTTGTTGGTTAAATTTACTCCAAGGTATTTAATTATTTTTGTAGATATTGTGAATGGGATTGGTCTTAGAATTTCTTCCTCAGCCATGACATTTTCTGTGTATACAAAGGCTTTTGATTTTTGCGTTAATTTTGAATCCTGCCACTTTACCAAACTCTTTTATGAGTTCCAATCGTCTCTTATTAGTCTTTTGGTTCCTCTATATACAGAATCATATGATCTGCAAATAGGGAGTTTGACTTCCTCCTTTCCAATTTGTATCCCTTTAATTTCTTTTTCTTGCCTGGTGGCTGTACCTAAAAATTCCAGGACTATATTGAATAGCAGTGTTGAGAGGGGGCATCCTTGTATGGTTCAGTATCTTGGTGAGAATGCTTCCAACTTTCTCTCATTCAATAAGATGTGGACTGTGGGTTTGTCATAAAGTGTCTTGATTGTGTTGGAAGAATGTTCCTTCTATACCTAATTTGCTTAAGGTTTTCATCATGAAAGGTTGTCGTATTTTATCAAATGCTTTCTCTGCATATATTTAGATAATCATATAGCTTTTGTTCTTCAATTTCTTGATTTTATATATAACATTGATTGATTTGCAAATGTTGAAACATCTATGCATACCAGGAATAAATCACTCTTGGTCCGAGTGAATAATAATTCTGATGTGTTGCTGGAGTCAATTGGCTAGTATTTTGTTTAGGATTTTTACACCTATGTTCATCAGGGATATTGGTCTATAGTTCTCTTTCTCTGTTATTTCTTTTTCTGGTTTAAGAAGTAGGGTGATGCAGGTTTCATTAAGGCATTTGGGAGGATTCCCTCCATTTCAGTTGTTTTTGAAGAGTTGAGAAGAATTGGAATTAGTTCTTTTTAAAATATCTGGTAGAATTCAGCCACAAAGCCATCCAGTCCTGGGCTTTTCTTTGTTGGGATGCTATTTTTGATTGATTCAATCTCTGTGTTTATTGGTCTGTTTAGGTTTTCTATCTTCATGACTCAATTTTGGTAGATTTATGTTTACAGGGGTCTATCCATTTCTTCTAGATTTTCTAATTTGTTGGCATATAATTTTTTTTTTTTGACAGGCAGAGTGGACAGAGAGAAAGGTCTTCCTTTGCCGTTGGTTCACCCTCCAATGGCCACTGTGGCTGGCACGCTGCGGCCGGCGCACTGCGCTGATCCAAAGCCAGGAGCCAGGTGCTTCTCCTGGTCTCCCATGGGGTGCAGGGCCCAAGCACCTGGGCCATCCTCCACTGCACTCCCGGGCCACAGCAGAGAGCTGGCCTGGAAGAGGGGCAACTGGGACAGAATCCGGTGCCCCGACCGGGACTAGAACCCGGTGTGCCTGCGCTGCAAGGCGGAGGATTAGCCTAGTGAGCCGCGGCGCCGGCTGGCATATAATTTTTTGTAG